CTGGACGCCTGAACAACGGCAGAATTTTTTATGTCTGATTGGAACAACGACGAATCTATACAACAGATGATGGCGACCGAAGATTTCACACAACACTGGTCACCTGAAGAGAGGGAAAGTTTTCTGCTTGACTGGAACGATGATGAACTATTGCTTCAAATGGGCCGTGGCAAGAGAAGATCGTTCGAGGACGATGGCGCTGAGTCGAGCACGACTGAAAACAACTTTACTGTGACAAATGTCAAACAAGTTAATTAAAGTGAAAAAGTTTGGAACCACGGGTACGGATTATACGGTACAATTCACGGACACGTTTGCTCATCTGGAGCTTTCTCAGTTCCACGACCGTCTGCATAGAATATTTAAAAGTTTATTGGATAGCATTACAAGAGATGTTCCTGAACATGATAAAGTACGTTTTGTGTTGCATTCACCTCAGCTTGAAAAACCTATTTCTCTTCCTTTCATGGCTCTTTCTCATTTGACAACAGAGCGGGTTTTAGCTCAAATTGAGCGTGTCATTCAATTCAACCATGAATTTCGTCTAAACGACAGTGTCAAAGTGAATTTGGTCCATGTTGAAATGTCCAATGGCGGTACCGGAACAAAACGTTCAGAAATAAATTTGGAAAAGCATTTGGCCAAAAAAGTCTCAATCATACGTATCCAAAACAAGGAAGATTTATGTTTATCTCGAGCTTTAGTTGTTTCGATTGACAAAATTGAAAACGATAGCCGGTATAAACCTATAAGTGATTTTCGTTGTTCACTACAAACACGTTTAGCTCATGATTTTCACCAAAAAGCAGGTGTTCCGTTAGGTTCTTGCGGTATAGACCAAGTCAAACAGTTTCAAGCGTATTTGACCGATTGTCAAATCAACATTGTTTCAAAAGAGCATCAAAATTCATTCATTTTTTCCGGACCTGATAAAGAGAAAAGGATTTATCTGTTTCTGCATGACAATCATTTCGACGTGATTACAAGCATGCCGGCCTTTGTTGCTCGTAAAATGTATTGCCATACTTGTAAAAAGGGATATGATCATCAAAGAGAGCATTTATGTGGAGATATGTGTAAATTGTTTTATTTTCAAAACGGTCCTATTGTTTCGTGGATTTCATGTAGTGATTGTAATCGTATTTTTAAAAGTCAGGAATGTTTCCACCGGCACAAACAAAACGTAGGAAATGCAAAATCTATCTGTATGTCTATTGCCAAATGTCCTCATTGTAATCGTGTTTTCGAACGGACTGAACTGAGGCCTGATTTGCATCACTGCGGACTGAAACGTTGCTCGATCTGTGAAAAATATGTGGGCATCGAAGATCACCAGTGTTACATGCAACCTGTCAAGGAAAAACCAAGGCGCGAAACCAATATGTGTGATGACGAAGCGGATGAGGACGTCCACGAAAGCGGATACAACGAACTACTGTTCTTCGATTTCGAGTGCATCCAAGAGAATGCTACTCACGAACCGAACTTGTGCGTGATTCAAAACGAGGCTGGTGACGAATGGATGTTTCAAGGACATAATACCAGGAACGATTTCTGTGAATGGCTGTTCAGGAAAGAACATTAAGGATGTATCGTGGTGGCCTATAATTTTCAGGGCTACGATGGTTATTTCATCCAACAATACCTACACGAGAACGGTGTTATTCCTGAAGTCATCATGCGTGGTGCCAAGATCCTTACGATGTATGTACCTATGCTCAAGATTAAATTCATCGATTCCTTGAGTTTAATACCAATGAGACTGGCTGATTTTCCCAAAACCTTTGGTTTGAACGAGTTGGCAAAAGGATATTTCCCTCACCTCTTCAACAGGAAGGAAAACCAGAATTATGTTGGGCTCCTACCACCGAGTCCTTATTACCATCCCAATGGAATGAATACAACTGAGAAAGAGACATTTTTGAAATGGCATCAGGGATTGAAAGAGAACAATTATGTGTTCAATTTCGAAGAAGAAATCCTGAGTTACTGTCGATCCGATGTGGATATCCTTCGACGTTGTTGCCTTGAATTTCGCGAGTTGTTCCGTGACGTCACCGACATTGACATTCGAGAAATGCCTAACCATTGCGTCAGCGTGCAATCTCGTGTTTCTGACGAATTTCCTTAAAGAAAACACCATTGCTATCCTGCCTCCACACTGCTATCATCCAGGAATCAAACAATCCAACAACGCCTTGAAACGGTTATCTTACACAGCCGAGAAGAATGACTTGTACATTCAACATAAGCGGAATGGTGGAGAGAAGACTGTTGGTCAATATTCCCTGGATGGCTATGATGAGGAAACACATACGGCGTATGAATTCCATGGTTGTTTCTGGCACGGTAAGTTTTTTTAGAGGGACAGTTTTTTTACACAGGTACAGTACTTTAAAGGGACACTCCGCCCCCAGAACAAGTGTCGCTCATAAGAAAGCTTTATATGAGTCTACCTTGGAATGAATATTCGTTCGCCTCAATTCTTTTTCGTTTGCGAGAAATTTAACTTTGTTTCACTGATTTTTCGTTCATTATCGCCGCCATGTTTGTTGAATCCGCGGGTGGTCCTATGAATGCCGTGACGTAAGTGTGTGATAGAAACGCTCAGTCTTTGATGTAAACACTATAAATTAACAGCTTCGTAGTTCATTTCGGTGTGATTTTGGGTAAATAAATTCTGTTATTGATCGTTTGCCCTCTTACTGATCATTTTAAATTATGGCGCGATCGAGTACTAGCAGCTCTTCTGAAGTAGACGAAGATATATCACCGAATAAGGTAAATTATTCGAACCTACGATTAAGAAAGCCTCCAGCTACAGCATGCAGGCTCTGTCTTCCATATTACTGTCCCAATATGATGTCGGAAGAAGTTAAGATGATGGTTGTACATTGTTTTAGAACATGAACTCGTATAAAATACACAATTTAATATTATAAATATATGCAGCAAATAAAAATATACACAACATAAATGTTACTGAAGTGTTTATGCTTTATTTGTGTCTAATAACGTACAAATGTTCAGAAAGTTAATTCTGCCACAATATGAAAACTACAAAATATAAATTACATAATGTACAAGTTTTTTATACTACAAATACATGCAAGCAAACCTTTTTCTTTTGGAATTCTGTGGTAGCTGATTCCCACAGTTTTCCGTGAGTTGTTAGTACACTCAGGAACCATGCAATGAGGCATCTTTGGTTAAAAAATATTTAAAAGGAAACTCTAAAGACTAAAGCTTGATTATATAATTTGTTTCGAAGCTAATCTGATTATACAATTTGTTTCTATCACACACTTACGTCACGGCACTCATAGGACCACCCGCGGATTCAACAAACATGGCGCGATAATGGACGAAAAGGTAGGCTCATATAAAGCTTTCTTATGAGCGACACTTGTTCTGGGGGTGGAGTGTCCCTTTAACGAAAATTTTTTACAGGATTTTTGAAATGTTATGCAAGGGACACCGTCAACAAAGTCAGCGAAAATACCATGCATGATCTCCATCAAGCCGCCATGGAGAAGACCCAATACCTTAAAGATCGTGGCCTACATGTTGTTGAAATGTGGGAGTGCGACATGAAGAAAGAATTGCAACACGATGAAGACATGAAACAGTACTTCGAGGATTACGATGTGGTGGATCCTTTGGAACCACGACATGCTTTCTATGGTGGTCGAACCAACGCAACAAAACTCTTCCACGAATGCAAAGAGGATGAGAAGATAAGGCATGTTGTTAGTGCACCCAAATAAATCTAGGAACGGGAATTTAATGTCCTTTTTTCTTACAGGTACGTCGACTTCAGCAGTCTCTATCCCTGGTGTAACAAGATGACCAAAACGGTCATTGGTCGGCCCCGTACGACAACGTACTTTGGCTTGATCAAGTGCACGGTATTACCACCTCGTGGACGTTTCCATCCAGTCCTTCCCTATCGAACCCAAGGCAACCTGATGTTTCCTCTGTGCAAAGCCTGCGCTGATACGTGTCACCAAGCCCCTCGTACTCATTCCGAGCGTGAACGAGCTATCCAAGGAACCTGGTGCAGCGTGGAATTAGAGAAAGCCCTGGAGAAAGGTTACCGTATCCTCCAAATGCACGAAGTGTGGCATTTTCCCGACACCTCCGACGCGCTGTTCAGGGATTATGTGGACACTTTCCTCAAAGTCAAGCAAGAATCCAGTGGTTATCCCAAGAATTGTACCACCAAGGAACAGAAAGAGCAGTACGTCGACGAATACTTGGCAGTCGAAGGAATACAATTAGATCGAGAGAAGATCGAACACAATCTTGGGATGCGTGCATTGTCCAAACTGATACTGAATTCGTTTTGGGGTATGTATTTTTAAACGGTTATGTTCTCGCATGGACGGCGAGGTAAACTTATCTTTTACAGGCACTTATATTAAAATTTTCCCCTTAGGAAAATTTGCGCAACGGTCCAATATGGCCAAGGTGGAATTGATTAAAGATCCCCAAGTGTATTTCGACTAAATATTCGGAGGATGAAATCAATGTACTCGACGTGAGATTCGTAAGCGACGACATGGTCGAGCTTCGTTACGAGTACAACGAGAATTTCGTTGAACCCAACGCCAAAACGAACGTAGTCATCGCCGCCTTTACCACCGCTTATGCCCGTCTCAAACTCTATGGAGTGTTGTATCAACTTCAAGAGCGAGTGTTATATTACGACACGGACTCGGTGATATTTGTTAGCAAACCCGACGAACCGGAACCTCCGCTAGGTCCTTACCTAGGCCAATTGGCCAGCGAATTGAAAGAAGGACATATTACTAGCTTCATTTCGGGCGGACCGAAGAATTACTGTTGCAAGTCTAGTACCAAATGTAATGTTACGGGGCAAGTTACCGTGGATATACCGTTAAAGATAACTCGGAACACGAGGACCAAAAATATTGAAACCAAACGCATGAGAAAAGACTACAGAATAGTTTATGATAAGCGCTTTATTGTAGATGATTACAAAACATTATCTTATGGGTACTAACAACAGTTGAAATAAATATATTTACGGGATCGTTTGATCTCAATGTTAATTTCTAATGTTCAGTTTGTGATAATGATCCAAATTCACCCCCGTTTCTTTTTCCAATGCCTCGATCTGATTTTCGTTTTTTTCTAGCCATGTCCCACATCAACATTTCTTTCGCATTCATATGGTAGGTAAAGTTGTTTCCCTGGGGAGCCCGAGGTACGGTTATACTCGTTAATGTTTCCAGTATGATTTGCGTCAATATAATGGAGTGCAACGTGGGATTGTCAATAAGCGTTGCTGGTATGATATTCTTCTCTATCAAAAGTTTCATCAAATCCAGAGTTGCCAAATTTCCCTCTTGCGTAATAATTTTGTCCGAGAGCCAGTGAGTGACAATGTTTCTCCAAGTCATGTCTGCATTGAATGATCGTGAAATCAGGAAAGGTACTGAGCTTTTATAGATTTTGGTTACATAACAGTGTGCAATGTATCAACAAACTTTCCCAATACGTCAAAATCTGTAGAAATGTATCCGTGTTTGACGCATGCATATCAAACCTTTTCGACAAATTCCTGTGATTGGTAACTATGTTAACGTCAGCTTAAAACGGAAATCCGTTTCTTTCCAACTCTTCATCGGTCACTTCGTCTAATAGTTTATCGTCCAAACTAGATAAACACATATTGAGACGAACCACAAGCTTTTCTTTAGAGAAGAATGGTATTTCGATAGTCATCCTGACGCTGTCCAAAGATGAATGAAATATGTAGAAGCATAGTGCCTTTTTATAGGTTACAATAACTGAAAGATCACGTGTTTCAATGCCCGTCTGTGCTCCACGCAAAAGATAGTTTTCCAATCGTCCGCCGTATATTCAATTAATTCGAAATCATATACTTTCATATCGCTCAGACTTTCCGTAAAAGCTTCCATCACTTTTGTTTCCGAAGCCTTTTCCAGAGCATGATCAAAGTATAGACATAACCGTTCGTCTCTTTCCATCGTAAGACGCTGATGATGCGTTTGGGACAGATGCACTGTCATGCATCCGTTACAATTTTCAACAATGAGCTCTGAGAGATGATAGAAGCGATTTCTTCAGCTGAAACTTTTAAAAGTTTCTTGACGATAAGTTTTTGGCGATGATAGAAAACAAGTTCCTTATTGTCAATATCGATAGGTTTAGACATGTTTGCTCTTTGTCTGATCGAAAGTAATAACTGTTCCTTTTCCAATGGAAAAAACGTTTTATATGTGCGTGCACCTTTAAAAATCTTCTCATATTCGAGTGTACGTCATGGGACACTCTGCCAGTGAAAATTCGAAGAATAATAAAAATCATAATAAACAGAAAATGTTTAGAATCGCTATAAGTGCGGGAAGAAACGATCTAAATCTCGAGGGGCATGTACAAGTGGGGTATTGCAGTAAAACCGTCAAAAATTTCAATCCCATTGAAAAGACCCAGGAGTATAGTATTCAAAACGTTGAAGAATGAAAGGATTTTGTCATTTTGCTTGTGAACATGGACGACTACTTATTTAGCGTGTATTACGATCCTAAACAACCCGGAGGATTTGACGGTGCGTAACGTTTGTATGGAGACGTTAAAAAGGAAGGAAGGTTCGCGCTAAGTCGTAAAGAAACTATGGAATGGCTAATGAAACAAGATGCATACGTGTTGCATAAACCCATGCGTCGTCACTTTAAACGAAACCGTGTCATCGTGGGCGGTATCGTTCAACAGTGGCAAATGGATCTGGCGGATATGCAATCCATGCAGAAGTTTAATGATGGATATTGCTATCTACTCGTGTGCATCGATGTTTTTTTTCCAAATATGCATGGGCAGTCCCGTTGAAAAACAAGACGGGTCCTACACTGGTCGAAGCTTTCAAAGTCATTTTAACGTCTGGACGCAAACCCGAAAAGATCATGACGGATCAAGGAACAGAGTTTCTAAACAAACATTTCCGATCGTTGATGAAAGAAGAAGACATCGAACCGTACTTACGGGAACCACTCAGTATTTTAAGAAAATACAAAATAACAGTAACTCCAAATAACATTTTGATTTTTAATCGACGTTTCGACTAGTTTGTAGTCATCCTATTAGTATTATTATTTGTAGTCATCCTTATTAATCATGAGGATGACTACAAACTAGTCGAAACGTCGATTAAAAATCAAAATGTTATTCGGAGTTACTGTTATTTTGTATTTTCGAACTGTACAATACGTAAAATGAAACGAGAGCTTCTATCGTGGAACGTCTCATTCGTACTTTAAAAACCAAAATGTCGCGCTATTTTACGGCCTAGAAAACCATGCGATACCTAGACATGTTACCCGATCTGGTCTAATCCTACAACCATAGTGTTCACCGTAGCATCAAGACAAAGCCCGTGCTGCTGAGAACGAGAAGAAAGTGTGGCACACTCTGTATGATGACCGTATGATGCCTGTTTGTATCTAGTTGTGGATAGATTTTTACATACATGTGCATAGAGTAGTTATATATTTTTCAATTTTCATCTGTAAATAATATTGCCAATTTTGTGTGTTGTTCTAATATTACTGTAAATAGTGACACACTTTTACATTAGATTGCTAATTTTAGAGATTACAGTGTATGTATAAAATAATAAAATAAAAATTTTCTTGTTATGATTTTGTAGAAAGAGATCTATTTGAGTGGTTGGCTGGTCTTGAACATGGTCAGGTAATGAAGGTGATAGGGCAGAAAGTGATAGGGCAGAAAGTGGTGACCAGTTAAGTGATGAGGATGAAAGTGACGAGGACGAAATCACCCATGGTGTACCATTCAAGTGCATCGGTGCTGCACTGTAAAAACTGATAGGTTAAAATAACCTATTTGTAAAGGTTGTCACTTATATAAATAGATTGTTTTAACCAATTGAATAGGTTATAACCAAAATAAATAGGTTAAAATAACCAATTATTTTTTGGTTGATCTCGAACATTTCGGTACAACTAATATAAATAGGTTAATTTAACCAATTGACCAAAGTAAATAGGTTAAAATAACCAATTATTTTTTGGTTAATCTTGAACAATACAACTAATATAAAAACAAGTGAAAGAAACTCTAAAGATCGATAACATTTTTATATTTATCAATGGAGTTTCATTTGTTTTGTATTTTGTAAAATACTCAGTAGTTCTAAAAATTATTGTAGTTTAATAGGTTGTTATCTTGGGTGTTTAGCCGATACTGATAACAATAGCCAGGTTGTTTTAAATATTTTTATAATACTCATTCATAATACATAAACTTTGTACGTGACAAATAATGTCAACCATTAATGAGTTAAATTATAAGCCAATAATAATTGCTCAAAAGACAAAACAGTTATAGGCAATTATAGGCAATATTAGTTCAGTACGTCATAATCTTTGTTAATAAAATTAGAAAATGCATCTTATTTTTTACATATTTATACTGATAGTATACTATATACAACACTGTACAGATCTAACATTGAATTGTTTATCACAGTCATTTCAACATATAGTATGCATTCATGCAGGAACCACACCACCATAAATCGTCTTTTAATCTCCACGACTCCACATATTTGGGGGGGGTGGGGGGTAGGCTGGCTATTTATGGGAATGAATAGTGAAAAGAGGTGGGGTTTTAGCAATTGACATGAATATACAGTTATACTACAACTTTAATAGTTGGTCTGTCATAAAGTCATAAACTGAGTTTATAGTGATCTAATATATTTTCAGCAAAATGTCCTGGGGAGGGCATGTGGGGAGGTCTAGTCTCCAGAACTAAAATATTTAAAATATGTATGTACCTTACATTGCGTCGTAAATTCTTTAATTATTGGCATGCAAGGAAGATATAACAAGACAGCTAGAATTTTGAAGATGGAATTAAGAGTTTCTGTCAAAAAAACAGAGATACAGGATTATTTGCACTGGATTGTTCGCATTATTGAGATCAGTGCGTTCAGTCAATCGCGTTGCCAAATATGGGCTCCCATAAGGCTTAGCGAGCACACTCCGAGCGCGTCCTTTTGGAAATTTTATTTTAACGTCGGTTGATATAGCCAAGATTTCTTAACATATTGAAGAAAATAAGAAGTAATACTCCAATTTTTGAAGATAAAGACAATAATTTTAAATGTAAGTGTTCAACTATGTCAATATTTTTAAGTTTCGTGTGTAAATATGTGCCATAAATAGTAATATATTCATGTATATTTTAACCGCCGTGCGTTGGCGGCATGTATATTTGTGTGAAAGGTTCAACAATATATTGTTAATAAAACTTAGTGATATTGCCTTGTATATTTGCAGATTATATTTTCAAGCAATTAATAATGCCATAATATGTGATCTAAGCAAGTCGAACTGTCGAAAACATGATATATACAGGCTACAAGAAGGTACGAAATATACAGTAGAATCAGTAGATAGAACAAAGGTAAGATTGTTCTCTCATACAAAGCTAGACTGCTAGAGAACTTGCTTTGGCGATTATATCAATATTAGCTAAGTGAGTCAATATTGATACCCTCTCAATATGTTAACAATGTAAATATTATATTGTTATAAATGTATTATCAATTTGTCAGATGTATTGAGAAGGTATCAATACAGTATATTGACTCATTTAGCTAAATTATATTGATTTAAGTTCTATGGCTTTCAGGCTTAATAGGAGAACTATCATTCCTTTGTATTATCTATATTGTGCTATCACAGTAAATAGCTATATCTATATTTAATATCCAGACAATCCCTGACTGTTGCTGAATACATTGAGGATACATTTTTGAGTTTTTCATAGTTTATATGCCTCTGAGAAATCCCAGGCTCACATTTTATGCATGAAGAAACTGTTTAACATTATACTTGGAGAGTTTTCAGCCCGGGCTGAGTTTCAGCCTGGTTAAACGAGCTAAATTGCATCACGATAAATATTTGCATGGGCAGTTTGAGCTCGGTCTGAGTTTAGTCAGAGCT